AGCTAAAAATTGCAGAAAACTGTTTTTTTTTCTGCCTATATCCACCCAAAAAAACCATGGGTTTTCAGTTTTCCTATGTATATATATGAAGTATCAGTGAAATATATTTGAGGATACCTGAGACGTTCTGTGAAAATTTGATTAATTGAAAACACAATTTTCCTTTGAAAACAATTTAAGCAGAACATTTCTGACCACCCTTATTTGGAAATTGAGCTTTAAGAAAGACTGGGGAATGCAAATATTGTCCAATAATATGATCATTTCAAACCCATACACTCTATTGCATCACTTCTTATTTCCGTTTCAGAGGGGTAGCTGCCAGATAGTAAAACTGAGTAAGTAGGAAATCTCATAGCCCACAGAATTTGTCTTGTAGACAAGTGCCTTTAAATTCAGGGTGAGAGTTGAACCAAGCAGCCAAAACCTATCCTGACATGGAGGACAGGTGGACTTCAAGGAGATGAAGAACAGGACACCTTGTGTCCAAATGGCAGCCAGTACCTGGATCAGTGGGATTTTCAATTCTGCACTGCACACTGGAAACACGTTTGCTATAATCTTATGTGGAGACAATGAGATGGATCAGTTCTTCTGTGAAATCCCCCAGTTCCACAAACTTACTTGCTATGACTCATATCTTAGTGAAACTGGGATTATTGCCTTTAGCGTGTACTTTGCCTTAAGCTGCTTCCTTTTTATAATTGTTTCCAAATTGCTAAGTCCTTCTTTTCAATTATAAAGCAAGCGCACTTGTCCAAGGCAATGTGTCTGACATGAAACCTGGAGGAAAAAGACAGGAGGTTGATCTCATACCAGAGATGCGGTTTTCTAAGAGTCCTGAGGTGTTAAACGCAAGTTCCCAAGAACTCCTTTAATTCCATTAGGCCCTACTCCAGAAGGGAGCCACAATGTTCCTTGTTGGACAATATACCCGCCACCAGTGCCTCTGGGTCAGAATGCAAGAGATTCGGTTGGTTGGAACATATTTCTGGTAGAGGAGGTATCTAGGAAGCCGTGCAGAAGCTGTTCGGGAGGGGTGATCATGGTGGGTTGAGGTAGCTGGCCATTCACTTGGTTTTAAGACGGATAATCCTCTTTTGGTGTGGCTTGTCCCCTGTCTGGTACTGAGAGAAAACCAGACATGGTTTTGTCCAGTATCACGAACTAGGGAGGCATGCAAGGTCACAATGGTGGGTGACGCCACAGCTTTCCCGGAAGTACCAGAATGTCCAGTATTCTGGGAATGCGTCAATGGCCAACGAAGTTGAGGGAAGAGCGGGGCGAGATTTTTCCAAGCCATTGGCAGATTGTATAATTTAGCTAAAAACGTAGGAGCATTTGTCACGAATAGGCTCAGGAAACCATTTCCAAATGACAAGTTACTTTGATCAACTCTACCAACCTGAGCTGAGAGCAACACACACACTCCTGCCCATGCCATGCACCTTCGGTCTCCAGGGTGCAGAGGGACTAGGAATGGGCATGTCTGAGATGATCCGGGAATAAACCTGCCACTGCTCTCACTAAGGAAACACTCCCCTCTTAGGTGTGACTCCCACTGCTGTTCTCCAGTAGCTTGGTAGGCAACGTCGGCCTCAGATGAGTGCAGGAATAAGGTACCCTGAAGTTCTCAGGCCACTTGCGCATATGCAAGGATCAACATCTAATCTATGCTGGCACCAGGGGGACTCAACCAGAGACATCTATGGCCCAAAGTACAAGATTCAACAGCTTGAGCTGAACAGCCAGGCTGCCTGACAGCCACTGGAATAGCCCCCTATCCTCTAGGTGGGGCACAAAGGGGCCTTATAACACGCATTGCCCATGGGTCGTGTTTATACAGTGACACTGCACAGCTGCAGGGGTCAAAGGCTTCATCTGCGTTTGAGTCACCTCCCTCAGCCAGGAGGACAGGGTGTCACAGACAGTTGTACTAATGCAACACCATGGATTCTACTGGAGTTTATTCTCTGTGTGGCCCCTTCTCCTCTTCCCCTCCATGAACATCCATACAGTCACAGAGTTATAGAGTTAAAGGCCAGAAGGAACGACCATTTCATCCAGTCTGACTTGCTCTATGCCAACACCACCTGGCACCCGCAGACCAAACCCAACAACTGAAATTAGACTAAAGTGTCACAGCCCTCAGGAGACTAGACAGTTATGTGCCATTGGCAAACAATAGGAGAGACCAAGGTGCACCAGTGCCCAAGACCCCTGCAATGGCAGGGAAATGATTGTGATACACCCAGAAAATCCTGGCAAGTGAACCGCACCACACACTGTAGAAGAATGCGAACCCTTTACACCCATTCCCCACAAGTTCCCTGCCAATCTGTCTGGGTGGGAAATTCCTTCCTGACCCCCACATGGCAATCAGTTAGAGCATGTGGGCAAGACCAAGCCAGCCAAGCTCCCAAGTGAGAGAGAATGGCTCAGTGCCACGTCAGAGCCCTGGTACATCCCACCCAATGGCCCATCTTCAGCTAGGGCCACCCTAATGTTTCAGAGATTAAAAAAAAAACCCTCCCAAAATACACCTGGGTCATGGGGGGTGGAATCCCTTCCTGAAGTTTTAGGACCATAAGACATATGCAGCAAATGAGCCCCAGGGCTGTTGAGCCTGGCCCCCCACCATCACAAGCAGCCCCATCATACAATCCCACTCAGCTATGTGTCCATCTCGCTCTTCAAACTAATTCAGTCTTTTGCCTCCCACAACTCCTATTGGGAGGCTGCTCCAAAACATCGCCCCGCTGGCCATTAGAAACCTCCTGTAATTTCTAGCCAGTCTCTCCATCTCTCACAAGCCCAATGTACACCTGAGCCAGGCTAACACAGTCTGGCTCCTTGTCCCCCGCTAGTGGTTCGGCCACAAATGGTGGTTTGTAAGACAATGGGCCCAGTCCCCAGCTTGTGGCAATGGATATACAGCCCCTTTGGAGGCAGTAGGTCAGATGCACAGATGCTGAAAATTGCTTTAGTGCCAAAAGAGTCAATGGAACTACACTGATGTGTTACAGATCTACCCGAAATCTCTTCTCACCTACCCCAGTCTTACACCAGTCTGACTCCTTTGGTTCCAACAAAGCCACTCCTGAATTATGCACACAAGCAAGACAACTCCCATCATTGTTTTCAGTGGCCATGGAATGGGTGCATGTGGCTAAGCAGTGTAACGGATATTGTTTTGGCACAGAATGAAAGTCTGATTCCTCTTGTGCACACAATTTACATCCATTTACCTCCACAACTTTACCAGATTTTCTCCTGGTGTAAGTCACTGCAGAGGCAGTGACATCAACGGAGTTAATCTGGATTTGCATTGGTGCAACTGAGATCAGAATCAGACCTGTTTGTGTTCAAGCTGTGTGGTCATGGAAATAACTGACATTAATGAACAGATACTATGTGAGCAAACTTTAATTAGCTAAAGACATAAAAAATTAATTCTTGGTGAATTACCTACACCCAGTCAGTCTCCTCAGGGCAGCTCTCATCTCCTTGTTCCTCAGGCTGTAGACAATTGGATTCATGGTTGGTGGCAATACGGAATACAGAACTGCCACCACAAGATCTAGAGCAGATGGGGAGCTGGAGGTGGGTTTTAGGTAGGCAAAGGACCCAGTGAAAACAACCAAGGAGACCACAGTGAGGTGAGGAAGGCAGGTGGAGAAGGCTTTATGCCGGCCCTGCTCAGAGGGGATTCTGAGCACTGATTTGAAGATCTGAACATATGACACAATAATAAAAACAAAGCAGCCTAAGAGTAAACATGCACTGAATGCAAGAACCCCAATTCCACTCAGATATGCGTCAGAGCAGGAGAGCTTGAGTAGCTGGGGGATCTCACAGAAGAATTGATCCACCATGTTGCCGCCACAGAAGGTCAATGCAAACGTGTTTCTGGTGTGTAGTATAGAGTGGAGAATACCAGTGATCCAGGCACTAGCTGCCATTTGGACACAAGCTCTGCTGTTCATCATTGTGTCATAGTGCAGTGGTTGGCAGATGGCGACATATCGGTCGTATGCCATGATGGTGAGAAAGGAAAAATCTGCTCCCAACAAGAATAAGAGGAAAAAGACTTGGGCAACACATCCAGCATAGGAAATGGACTTCGTGTTCGTGAGGGAGTTTGCCATGGATTTGGGGACGGTGACAGAGATGGAGCCAACGTCTAGGATGGACAGATTCATTAGGAAGAAGTACATGGGGGTGTGAAGGTGGTGGTCAAAGGCTATGGCCATGAAGATAAGAAGATTCCCCACCAGGACAACCAGGTAAATCACAAGAAACACCACAAAGTTCAAAATCTGCAGCTCCCGAACATCAGAGAATCCGAGGAGAAGGAACTCGGTCACGGTGGTTCGGTTGGACATTTTCTTTCTGAGGACATCGTGTGATGGTTGCAGAGAGAGGGACAAGAGCAAGGGACAGGATTAGATCATTAAAATAACTCTCCTTTTGTGAAAACCACCTTAATTTCATTGAGTCAGACCCTTAGCTTGTGAAGATTGGTGTAATATGGGAATGAGGATGGAGAAAACAGCCCCAGTGACTCCAATGGAGTTACTCCTCTTTTACACTGGGGTGAGAGAAAATAGAATCAGCTCAATGGACTCTACAGTGGTTACTCATAATTTACACCAGGGTTATAAAGTGGAGAAATTGGAACAATTGCTTTTGAGAAATTTGTATACCTCTGTTACCCAGAGGTGGGTGAACTCTGGATAACTGTGTATAAAGGTTGCTATCCTCTGTTTTCCGAGTGGAATTGGGGGTCTGTCTGGCCAGATTCTGCTGTCAGGGACATGCTGCGAATGTTGGATAATTTCACTTCATGCCATGGAATTACTCCCCATTTGTACTGTTCTAAATTGGAGCAGCTTTTCGCATGGAGGTGACCAAACCCAGTCATAAATGAACAGTAAACTCTAGTCATGAATACGGCTCCCTTCCTGCTTCTCTAACCACTCAACTAAACACCCTCCCAGAGCTTGGAAGAGAACCCAGGAGTCCTGACTCCCAGTTCGCCCCCTGCTCTAACCCACTAAATCCAATACCCTTCCCCGAGCTGGAAATACAGGCCAGGAGTTCTGGCTCTACACACTGTACTCAACTCCCTCCCAGAGCTGAGAACACAAATAAGGTGTCATGACTGCCAGTCCCCTCCTCTAATGACTACATCAGACTGCATCTCAGCTTCTGTGCCAGTGACTCTCCATTGCCATCAGGAACAACTGTTGCGAGTGACAATGGAGAGTCATTGGGCCAGGGTAGGTGCGTGAGAGTGATTCTCCAGGGGCCAATGGCCAGATCTGGGGTTTCGGCCGCCGGCTCCTTCCAGCCGGGGTCTCAGCCCGCTGCCAGCCTGGGGTTCCTTCCACCAGGCCGGCAGCGGGTGCTGAGTTACACCGGCAGCGGGACCCCAGCTGCCAAGGGGCCAGCAGCCGGATCCCCAGAGCATTGACTGAGCAGCTCAGCACCCCCGCTGCTATAGGGTTTCTTCTCCAGGGGCCAGCGGCCAGATCTGGGGTTTCCGCCGCTGGATCCTGCCAGCTGGGGTCTCAGCCTACTGCCAGCCTGGGGTTCCTTCCCCCAGGCCATCAGCGGGCAGCTGGACCCCGGCTGACAAGGGGCTAGGAATGGGAACCCCAGAGTCACAGCGGGCTGAGTGGCTGAGCCCACCCCAGATCTGGGGTTTCGGCCGCTAGCTCCTGCCAGCCGGGGTTCCTTCTCCCAGGCCGGCAGCGGGTGCTGAGTTGCACTGGCGGTGGGACCCCTGCTGACAGGAGCTGGCAGCGGGAACCCCAGAGTGGGGGCTGGCTGAGCGGTTCAGCCGGTGCCGTGGGCCACCAAAAATCGGCTTCCGTACCACCTTTGGCACAAGTGCCGTAGGTTGCCAATCCCTGCTCTATACACTGGACTCAACTCCCTCCCATTGGGCCAGGGTCGGGGCGTCAGAGTGATTCTCCAGCGTGGTACTTGGGGCACTCACCTGGTGTCTGGAAGAGCCAAGTTCAAGTCCCTGCTCCCATGACTATGTAATTTTTGATACAAAGTGGAGCAGCTTCAACAGGAGAGATTGAGACAGTCTCATTTCAGAACAGCCCATAGCCTAGCAGCTCAGGCACTCTCCTGTATGCTGGAAATTCAAATCCCTTCTCATCATCAGTCAGAGGGAGAGATTGAACCTGAGTCTGTCACAGGCCAGCCAAGTGCCCTAACTTCAACTTATGAGGAGTGGCTGTCCCACAAGTACCCTTTCAGCAATTTAATAGACAGAAGAAACAAAAAACTGAGAACTAGACACAAACTGATAGATAGATAGATAGATAGATAGATAGATAGATAGATAGATAGATAGATAGATAGATAGATAGATAGATAGATCGATAGATCGATCGATCGATCGATCTAACAACAAACTAATAGAGAGATACAAGATTCAGAGAGTCAGAGAGAAACACAGAACTAACACAAACTAACGGGTAGATAGAGAAGTAAAAACAAACTAATAGAGAAAAGTAAAAACAGACAGACAACAGTAACAACAAACTAATGTATACAGAGAGAAAAGTAACAACGAGATGATAGTGTTTGTCACAATTTTGGGACAACTTTAATATAAACTCTTCAATCCATTCTAAAACATATGTGTATCAATTTGATCAATTCCCCCACTCCCAATAAAAGGAAACAAAGGCACGAATATTCCGCCCCCTCTTTCCTAAGATAACTGCTTTGGACTCCCTCAGTTTCCAATGCCCAAATTGAGCTAATAGTGAAAGTATGAAAAAAAAATCTGTCACTTACAATTTCATCCTTAAAGAGCCTCTCTGTCACCCCCAAATATATTTCATTGCAAGAGCAAACTTACGATGCCGGAATCTGAGATGTCTTTTCTCCTCCAGCTACAGACTGCAATTGGTTACCCCTCTCTCTCTAGCACCATGTACACCCCTCTATCGACCTATTTCTCTATCTTATGCCCCGATCACTGTATTATGAGGCCGTTCCCCCACCACACTGAGGCTGAGCTGCTGGAAATACACTGAGATCTGTGCTGTCTGCAGATGAGCTGCGTGTCAAAAACTTTGGTGTTGAGGGGAGGTGATTTATCCATGTCTGTTTTCTACGGGCTTGAGGGACTCACTCCCTGGAGCCCTGAACAGTCCAGAGACAACAATATTTTATCTTGCCTTCTACTTCCCTGAAGAGTTTTCAGAAACTAAAATAATCACAATTACAACGAGGCAGCAGGGTCTAAAGCAAAGATTGTGAGGCAAACACTGCAGGCACACAGGACTGTACTCCAGAGATCTGACATCAATTCCTAGCCCTGCCACTGACCTGCTGTGTTAACTTGGGAAAATCATTCCCTAGGGCTGTCTTTCCCCTCCCACCCTTTTCTGGTCTTTTCTACTATAAGATCCTTGGGATGGAGACTGTGCCTTACCTAATAAAATGGACCTCTCGTATCAGATGCAACTATCAGATAATTAATTAATTATTATTTAAAAGCTAAGGTCCAAGGTTTCCTCAGATCTGATCCCCACTATTCCTCTGGCTTTGTTCTGTCTCTTCACCACTCCATTCCTCAGTTTGTCATCCATCCAATTGGGATACTAGTTACAAATAGGAGGATAATTCATAATGAGCGGAGATGCTCAAAAAAATCTTCCTTGCAAAACAACTTTTGAAGAAAAATTGGTTGTCATTGAAAATATTTTAGCATGGAAAAAAATCATTTTGAACTCATTTTTCTATGGGTTTTTGTTTTTTCAGTGGGAGGAAGTTGTTTTCGGTTTTGTATTTCTGAAAACCTGGAGATGAAAAACGTTTTTGTATATTTTTTTTCAGGTTTTGGGGGGGAAAGTTTTCAATATCAGAAATCTTTTTTCCAAAACTAGAAAATATTTACCATAAACTTACTGTTTTACAAGAGAAGTTTATTGAAAATCAAACGCTTTTCAGTCTTCCGTTTCATTGTTTTGCCCATCCAAAAGCAATATTATGCGATGTTTCTATGAAAACAAAAAAAAATGACATTTCTCACAAAAATATAATTTTCATTTTTGACCAGCTTTAATAATGAGTAATTAAACTCAATTAAATGCACATGAGTTCATGTGGGTGCAACATTCATTGCAATTTTATTTGACAACATCTGCTTGTTATAGATCATAGGAACTGTCTAACTGAGTCAGACCTTTGGATCTTGCAGTCCAGTATTCTGTCCTTGACAGTGGCCAGTACTACCTGAGTCAGAGGAAAGTCTAAGAGGCCCTATAGAGGACAATTCTAGAATAACCTGTCCATGGCGGACTCTCATCAGCAGCAGCTAGTGAATAGTCTATGGCGTGAGGAAGGTGAGTTTCTACCCCTCATAGAGTTTTATCTGCTACAGAGTAACTGCATGCTTTCATTATCCAGATAGGCTGCAGTGCTCAAAGGAACCAACTGGATTTGTGTGTCTAAATCCCATTCACTTTCTACAGGAGAGGTGTGCCCAGCAACATTAATCCTCTTTGAATATCTCAATTAGTTTATTATTAATTACTTATTTTGTAGATTCCATCACTGACAACTTTCAAATCAAGATAGGATGTTTTACTAAAGGATCTGCTCGAGGTATTATTTTGGGGATGTTCTCTGGGCTGAGTTATACAGGAGGTCAGAATAGACAGTCACTATGGTCCCTTCTGGCCTTGGAATCTGTTAATCTAATATGAACTCCACCAAAAATGAGGACAAATTTTCTCCAAAAAACTCACAAAATGGTAGTTTTGAAAAAGAAATTCTAAATTTCTATGAATTTTTTAAAGGGTGAAAGATGATTCTGATCATCTCCCCTGTGTTTTGACCAGATCTATTCAAATTAATTCTGGGAGATTTTAGCTGAATTAGGCAACACCTCAGAGTAATATAGCTCTACCGCTCTCTTGGCGATGTAGGCTATTTGTGTTCATGGAGGGGCCAACATGACCAATGATGGGACTTTCAAGGTCGCCTATAGATATTTGGCCACCAAAATTCCAGTTAGTTTTAATGGGAATTGGGCATCCCAGTCCCCTAGGTGAAAATCCATCCATAATTTTATGATCAAAATCTGCATCTCTTTTCTGGTTTCATTTTTAAGGCCATTATTCAATAACTACTTGGATAAGAGAGGAGAGAATATGCTTATAAAACTTGCAGATGACACCAAGCTGGGAAGGGTTGCAAAGACTTTGGAGGACAGGATCAGAATTCAAAATGACCTTGACAAATTGGAGAATTGGTCTAAAATTAACAAGAGGAAATTCAATAAAGATAAGTGCAAAGTTCTTCTCTTACCAAGGAAAAATGAAATGTACAAAATTGGGAATCACTGGCT